CAATGAGGCTTTGTGATTCTTTTGTTAACCCATTATAGAAGCTTTCAACTTGTAGCCAAACGGCTATGCTATGGTGAGGGCACTTAAGTAGGAGAGATGTAAATCTTTGCCATGCTTCAAACAATGGTTCATCCTCCTCTTGACGGAACATAGTGATCTCACTTCTCATCCAAAGTCGTCTTGGAAGGTGGAATGTACCTTGCGAAGAACTTGTTGCATATATCATCCAATGAGATGATTGAGTGATGTTGTTGATTATTCAACCACTTCTTTGCCGCTCCGTTCAAGGTAAATGGGAATAACCTTAGTCAAAAAGCCTCTTGAGGAACCCCATTCACTTTGATTCCATCCGTCAACTCATAAAATGACTTGACATGCGCATGTGCATCTTTACTCATCATCCCATTGAATTGAACCGCACTTTGAAGCATCGATATTGTACCCGGCTTGATCTCATAATTATTGTTGGGTAATTCCTGATGAAGAATAGGTGATTGGACATTGTCCACACTTGGCCTAGATTAAGAACCCATTGTTCTTGGCCTCGGTGGTACTTGAGCTTTATGTTACGCCATTGGTAGAGGTTGAGGTCTTGTAAATTTTCTTATATTCCGAAGGGTTCTCTCGATTTCAAAATCGAGAGATAACACTTCCAAGGAATCCATTCTTTGCATACAACGATGCTACAAAACACACCCTCAACAATCCGTGACGTACAAAAGTGGAAAATAACAATACAAACAAAGATGCAAATATGAAAGAAAACTGCAAAACGAAAACACAAAATGAAATAAACCAACGACATAAACACAAACACAACACAAAACAAACAACTAAAGCAAGATAAAAACTAACTAATCAACTTAATGGTTTTCTACTAGTTACCAAGGGTCCCCGACAACGGCGCCAACAAGCTTGATCACTTGAATTCGTGCATGTTATTGTCGGTGATTTGCACGTATCAACAACTATCCCATCCTAAGCCAAGTTTAACCTAGGATGGCATTGTCATATAGTGGTAATCAAGGTCGTATTCTACTCGGGTCCTGGTACCCTAGCCTACTTCCCACCTTGTTGTTAATTAGGTAACCAGTTTTTGAGGTTTTGAGTGAATGATATGAGGGAACACTAGTCTTGAGCTTGATCAAAGCTAAAAGTAGGTACTTCGGGGAACTAATCCTGCCCCTAACTTAGGGATACTATGCATGTATAGATACTTAGAGTTATCGAATGTGGTGGGTGATTTTTTTTTTCGTGGGCCTTCACCGTTATCCACATGCCTCCGAGTATGCCTTCCCTAAACCCATGTTTCAGTCACCTCGATCTAGGCTATTGTATCTGGGGCATTAAGCTTATAGCTCATTTCAATGGACACTATCCACCATCCACACCGAGGTTTCATCCCGGGTTTCATCTAGGAAGGCTACCTATAGCAGGGGTTCGGTCGCCTCGACCACTATAGGCCCCAATTTAGTCATCTAACCTAAACTCGCCAAATGGCGCATACCCGTCTAAGCCAAGAACTCCATACCCAACGTAGTAGCATAAAGCAGGCTAAGAGGGAAGATTGGGGCCAGTTGTCCAATCGTAATCATTTAGGGGTCGTTTGGAGGTTGAGATTTGAAGTGAGATATTTGGAAAATACATGTAATGATAAGATTAAGTCGTTTTTTTGGTTCACTTTGAGTTAGAATACATGTGTTACATTTTTGTTGAGCCCACCTATAATCACTCAAAATGAACGATTATAAATCTCTAACAAAAGGTGAGATTGTTAACAAGGGATTGTCTACCCTACTTTTTGTTTCATCATAGCCCCTCCAAACAAAGTATTTTCCTAATACATGCATTGAATCAATACATCAAATGATAATACACAAATTGAACAATGCATCTATTTGGAGAATCTCAACCTCCAAACATGCCCTTAGGTAAGAGTGGCGTTCAGAATCTACTAGACAAACACATTCATCCATTTAAACCCTAAAATATCCATACATACATAATAAACCCAAAAACTATGGTTTGGGGTTTAGAACCCCTAGTACCTTAGAGGACTACTCCATAAAGGAGGGAAGAAGATACATGATAGAAATAGAAGAAGACTTGAAGTTGGGGAAGATCCTCCTAGCTCCTCCTCCTTCTTTTCTTATCCCTTCAGCTTCTCTCTCTTATCTCTCTAGATCTAGAAAATGTCACCCAAAATAAGCGCACTTAAAATGCGGAAATGGTTTTCTATTTTAGGCATTCTGGACTCGGGGAAGTTCATGGTCTGAGACTGGGAGATCTCGGGCGGGATCTTCTGAGGTTAGGTCGCGATCTTAAGACGACGTCGTCATGGCCTTCTAAAGGGGGAAGATCGCAGGCTGACTTCGTGATCGCGATCCTCGAGTCGTGACCGTGATCTTCTTCGCGGGCAAGTAGAACGTTGGTCGTGACGCGACTAGGGAAACTCTCTGCTTCTCCAAGGCTCCTTCTCAGAGAAGTTCGTGCCCTGGGCCTTCAAGATCGCGGTTGCGATCCTTGACTTTTGGGCCGCGATCTTCAGCAAGTCTTCACGACTGAAAATCTCGGCCGTGATATTTGGCTTCTAGGCCACAATCCTTGATCCTTGCCCCTTTTCTACACTTGTGACCTTGTTTTGTACCTAATTTGCACATATTGACTAATACACCCTGTAATCGCATCAAAATCAAATAGGAACGAAATAGGGATGTATTTGACAATGGTTAAACGCTTAAGCACATGAATTGGCACAAAACATACCCTAACATGGAGGTTAAATAACACCGATTTTGGTGTTATCAATGCTAAAATCAAAAAAGCATTCTAAACAATACATGTATAGTAACAATCTCACCAAAACAATTGCAACTCCCAAATGCCCACTAAGCGAATTGCTTGCATCCATCCCAACTGCGAGTTTTATATGTTATGCTTACTGGAAGTTCCCAAACCCGTGTTCTCCAAGTGCTTGTCTACTATGGAGAATCTGGAAATCTCTTAATAAGGTGGGTTCTTAATACATTCAACCACATGCTCATTCACTTACCCATCAATTTTCCTTCCAAGTCCTCGAACTTCCCTCAGCCTATCAATTCTCCTAGTGATAAGCCCAATGAGGGACTCGGATGATCAGAGCACGCAACTAGGATAGAAGTCTTCGACGTGGGGATGTATTTTTGGGAAAGACAAGGATGATGGAAGGATGAATGGTGAAAACCGAACAAGCAACTTCAACACGATAGGGGAAGAGGCTAGTTAGGGTAGGGATTACCACGAGATCGATGATGGAAGGTCGATCTCTAGGTCAGCAATTCTCGGCCAAAACCAAGAACAACCTAGATCGCAAGCTTTCAGAAAACTCCTCGGAGTAAACTTTCGATTAAAACTTAACTTCTCTTACAACTAATGAGAAAGGCTATTTATAGCCAAGGATACCCTAACACAATCCTAATTAAACCTTGAAACAAATTACAAACAAAACAAGGAAAGGAAACATGTAAAACACGAAAACTTGTAACTCAACATTCTTCTCTTCCAATCAACTGTCCAGGAAACAACTCTTCAACCCAACTTCGAGCTCCTGGAAATTAACCTTCTGGGTTGAGTCGAGGTCAGCCAATTCCTTGCCAAGGTTTAGAAAGTTCCACAGCTTCAATCCCGACTCCAAGCTCCAGCTGATCGTGTCCCCACCTTCGTGAATTCGAGCTCAAAGTTGCTATCTCAATCTAACTTTCTGCCTTGGTAAAAAAAAAGGCAGATTTCCAGTTGCAGGATAGGGTTTTGCACGACTTGCAATCCAACCCTGCCGGCTTCCTTTCCACGATCCAAGTGCACCCAGTTGTAGAGGGCCATCCAAGCTTCAAAATATGACCCTAACCTTGCATTTTCATTGATCCAACTGTGAGAACTAAACCTCCAAAGTAGAGCTTCCAAATCTGCTTCAACACTTAACCAATTTCCAGCTTTATTCTTGTGAGCTTTATTGGATCTTTCTAAGAATAATTGGGACTTGCAGATCGATGGAATTGTGATCATATCACCTAGACTCCTCAACTCTTTCCCCCATATTCGTCATCATTACTCTGGGAGTGCCCGCCTCAAGATTAACTGAAGATCAACTTTGATGGTGTCGTTAAAGATTTTGGTTGCTCATATGGCCTAGATGTGCGTGGCTCGGACGGGCATGTGATGCTAGTCATAGGAGCCCTTCATCAAGGTGTGGTCGATCCCTACCTTGCAGAGCTGCTAGCTGCTTAGAGATGTCATTTTAATCATGGCCTCAAGATGTCTGCACGACTTATTGTAGAAGGTGATTCCGAAGTAGTGATCCGAAAGCTCAACCAACGATCGATAGTGTGATTCACTCGGGAGAACTTTGCTTCGAGAATGTCGTTAGCTTCTTGAGTCTTATCCTCTTTGTATGGATTTGAGAATGGTTTTGCAAACTGACAACGGAGCTACCCATAGGGTGCCACATAAAACCCTATTGTCGTTTCTTTTGATTTTGTTAGATGGCTTTACTAGGGGTTCAAGTTGTGGGTAGAGGTTTTTGTCCAACTTTTCTACTGGTTAATAGTTGGAAAAAAAGTGCAACGGCGTAATGGTACCAAGTGGGTTGCAGTTACTGGCTAGATACCAAAGAGGTCGGGTGTAGATGTTAGAAGAAAATTGTAAGCCTCATTGATCGAACTTTAAGGGCAAATAAACTTCTGCCATAGTCTGGCCGGCCCTATAAACGGCCAAAGGACATGAATAATGGAATCATGCATGCATTGCACGCATCGGCAGCAATAAGTAACCACCAACCAATAATGGAGGGACAAGAAAAGATCCCCTCACCTCGCCCAGGCACCATCAAATTCATATATAGCATTTCAGTTTTCAACTACGATACAAATCTACAACACTGCCCATCCATCATCACATGCACCTCTCCCGTTATGTTCTTTTGTCACCCGACAACCTTATCTCTTGCTTACGACGCTGCCCCCATTCGCAATTGGCAGCATTCATTAAGTACGTAATAATAATAATCATCTCTTCTTACAAGCAAAGCAAAGCAAGACCCACCACGCATCCGGCGGGTTGGGGTTTCCAAAGTCCATTTTAAGCAAACCCAACACACAGAAGTCAGTAAGGGATCCTAGGCATTGCAAGTTGCAACCAGCACATTTACTTCATCCCTTCATTCAGCAAACTACTACTCTTTTTTTTCTTTTTTCTTTAGAAAACACACTCCATATAATAGAATTGCTCCCTCACAAATTACAAATTTTAAGCAAGGCTTCTTAATTAACAGCACAGCACAGAAGAACACCGACTACAACAGACAAACACCCACTTCTTTCTCCATTTTTTCCTCTCATTAACTTAACAATCAACACCGAGTTAAAACGAATAAACCCACTACTAACAGGAAGCTTTAGAAAAAAGGGCATTACCCGCATGACCATCCATCCAATCGCAACACCCTCTTCTTCTTCATGCCTACCCCACTTTCACTGGCTAGTTCTTGTTCCTCGACTTCTCTACTGCCCGCGGGGCTGCAAAACAAATGAAAGTAATACAACTTCTGTCATAATGAAGAAATGAAGTTTGCTAACCAAATAAATATTGTGCGCAACAAGGTACTTCAAATAATTATCGAGATTCATGGTACACGAGGCTAGTAGCCACTCAGAAATATGTTCCCTTGCTGGTGCCTAGGCAAGCACTTGGGAAATCTCTATCGAAATTAAAAACTATCGTCCGCCTATTGTGAGTTCTCAGCATACTCAGAATCCAGTCATAGCTATCCAGTCCAGATGACAAGATACAGAATTAGAAAATAAATGTAATGACACAACGCACCTAAGCCAATGGCGTCAGAACCCTTCATGATCCTCATCCTCTTGCAGGTCTCAATAAACATCCTAAAGATTAAAGAGTTCGAACATTAAGTTCCCACAAGTAGTAGACATGAAGAAAGAGCGGAAGACCAGGTTGCGTTAACAACCGTGATTACTCAAAGTATCAAAGTGAGAATATATGCTTGCTAAAGCAAATATAAAACAATACAAACTTAATAGAGAACAAGGAAAACAAAGACGAGAGTTACTTTTTTGTTCCAGCAGTCCTTGCATTCTAATCACCAAATAGACGCACATGATTCAAGTACACAACCTCTGACCGAAACACAAACTGAAAATCTAACATGTAAAACAAATAGCTATTTGCTCAACGTTGACTGTTGCTCTGGAGATCGGGGTAGCCTAACTACTATTGTAGTATAATGAAGATTCAGGAATATGTAACAAATCTCTGAGTATGGAGGACGAGACAGTTGTACCCAAACCCATGGATACCACCCCAGCAGATCCATATAGGGTAGAGTATTTACCCAAACTTAGTTAATTGGGTAGGGTGGTACCCAAACCAAACAAGTTTGGGTATTTTACTTGAACCCCTTCGCTCGTTCTTCTACCACCTGTCCTTGCTACACTTGCTTAAAAGTCATCTCTATTCAGAAAGAATGAAATCCAAAAAACTCCTAGAAGCCATTCATGCATAGATATACTCCGCTCGATAGTTCTGCTGCTGACAGTTTAGCAAAAAGGTCTCCTAGTGTCTTCATACAACTAGTAGTAGATTTGTAAAGAATAATTATCATCAGAAACAAAATGATTATAACATTACTTCCACAGACGTCCCCCAGCAATTTAATACTTGTGTTTCTATTCGAAAGAGTCACCTATTCAGTACTTTAAATTATTAGGCACTTCAATACCGCACAGCCGTAGGAAGATGAGCAATTAGATACCATTAACAGGATGAAATATCCAATGATATTTGTTCATTTAGCCACACGAAGGACAAGTATCTAAAGCAGATTAACACTTACTCCCACGGAACATCACCAACAAGCATCCAGTCTCCATCTTTATCCTCGTAGGTGAGAACATATTCTGAACCATGGAGAAGATCCTTCAACTTGCTTTCAGTCAGCATCTCCCTTCCTGAAGTTCCATGGGATCCACATTGACCTGCTATCAAAACAGATAAAGCAGCAGTAACTTGAACATCAAAACCAAAACAAATTCTTCTGAGGCGCAAGTTACAGAGTCCTGAAAGTGTCACCCATCCAATTTGAACTGTGATTTAGCTCACCTATAGTAAAACAGCTGAACATCTTCTCGAGAGCCAAAGAGAGTTCCTTATATGCAGAGTAGTTCCTCAGGTCAACTTTCCTTAGATATGGGGCCCCGTCCATGCTGATTTTGACATACAGGGCACTAGCACCCGCCTTTCCATCTACTTCTTCCGTATTCTTAGACAAGGTAGCAAGTGAATTCTTCCTAAACGACCTGATGGGTGGCCAACCCACAACTTGTGCCCTGCCAGATAATAAGCATAAGTTACACTAGCTCCATGCCCAACTTGCTTAATCAAGACATAAAAGCTTACTTGGTAGCAGGCACAGTGCTATTGTTTGCTGAGCTCCTGTTGTTTGATCTAGGGTCGCTTGAGACAAGGGGCCTCTCCTGTGCAGGCTTTTGCCCTACTAATTCTTTTGCCTTGACTGGTTGAGAAGACAGGTTCTCCAGAATTGAACCCGGTTTCAGTCCCAAGTTCTGAGATGACCTCGGGGACAGCATAGCATTTACCTCCGATTCAGAAGTAAATTTATCCTGCACCAATCACAAATGAGCAGTAAAATCAAATCAGACCGCATTGGTGAAATAACAAACGAGGTCTGATCTGTTCCCGATGAAAAGCAGTTGATATTTCACCTCTGAGAAGCCATCCATTGCATCAGAGAACCCTCTTTTATTCCCCAAAAGCAAATTCTTGGGCATGGAAGATCCATGATTATCGTTCACCGGATGCAAGGGGAAGAGGGGCTTCTCGTCAAGTTGAGTAGAGGCAAATAAGCAAAGATCGGAATTCCTTTCAGGAGATTGAGATCCTGGTAATCCAAGCCGAAGCTCGGTCGCCTTAAGATTCAGACTAGTCTTGCTCTCACCAGTGACGGCAGAGATTGCCGAGCTATCCCCAGATGAAGAAGAATCAGACAACCCCATGTAGTTGCGCTCCTTGAGCTCAGCAGACCCGTTTTCACATACGCTCTCTACGGAGGTTGAAGAAGCCAGCAAGGAAGCACTGCTGGCAACCTCCTCTACACCACCAAGCAGTGGCGGAGTCATCAGAATTTACCAATTAAGAAAGCTCGGAATTTCCTCCCAGTTAATTACCTGCAATAGACCAGCTGAATGTTAAATTCAAGCAACGATGGCGTTTCTTCCACCACAGTGGTTTCATACTAAATCAATTGTGGAAATAGGCAAAGGAGATGATAGATCTAAGAACTAAATTTTCAGGTTAATAACTAATACCCGGACCTAAAATCAAAGAAAGAATATCGACCCAGAAACAAAGAAAAAGACAAACAAACAAAGGAAGGACAATTGCATTTATAGCGAGAAAAATTATATGCGCGAGAGAGGAGTAGGAAGCATTCAACGTCGAGAAGTAATTGCAGTCGATAATTGTAACTGTCTGCCAAATCCTAGAAAGAACGCAGACAGAGGCACCAGCAAATGTTTCCCCCAATTGAAAAAAGAAAACGCAGAGTTAATAGAAAATGAAATAATAAAGCGCCGAACCAAATAATATGATGCATGCTCTGTTTGGCAGGCCAGAAAATGCAGGAAAATTTTCGTGCAAGCATGAACAAACGCTGGTTTTGAGAACAAAAAAAAACAAGGAAAATCAACTTCACTCTCTCTCTTAATCCGCTAGAGAAATTTCGTCCTTCTATACTGTTTACTGAAACCAACACCACCACATTACAGAAAAACTACAACTCGCCTCTCGTATTTTCCTCTACTTTCCAGGGAAACGAACAGAAAGAGAGCTAGGAAACACAGCACACCATCCAACTAGCGAAACGCAAAATCGGAATCCGAAAGAACAGAAAAGGGAAAAGCTACCGGAAGCGGAATCTTCCGCGAAGCTAGCTGCAAAACTTAAAATAGCAAAGCGTATATTACCTTCAGATTAACCGGAATCGTTGATCGGAATATCGATTACCAAAGAGTTGTTCCCCGGAGAAGAGACCGGAGAGAGAGACAGAAGGAGACTCGGATAGGGAAGGCAGAGAGAGAGAGTAGAGATAGAGGAAAAATTGGGGGAAAAGAGGACTAAGGACCCTCCATTTGTCACAGAGTAACAAAAGCTTATTTGCTGTCTGATGTGAAGCTCTCGACTTTTATTTCTTTTTTTTAATTGACATTTTCTACTTTTTTTTGCCTTCTCTTTTTAATCGGGCCTTGAAAAAACACTCTTGCTTTTCCTCCAGTTTTTTTCGCGTTTTGGTTTCCTTTATTATTTACTCCGCCGAACAATAATTATTAATAGTTATTTATTATGGTACGGGGAGTGATGATTGGGTGGGATGGTAGTTGAATCGTGTCCGTTGATCTTTTTAATCGACGGCAGCGGAGTTGGGTAGTAACCGAAACCCGGCCCGAAACTGTAGAGCCTAGCCAGGCTTAAGCCAAGAGAGAGGAGATGGGGTTCTCAATTCTCATCATAGCATTAGCACTGTCTGTCTGTCTGTCTCCTCTCATCTTTATCTTTAATCGAAAGGAGGTGGCTTCTAATTAAGGGTTATAGGGAATGAGATAGATAGCATGTTTACATGTTGGAAAAATGACACCCTATAAATTATAAATTTTTAAGGTAATTAATTTGTATTGCATTTAATAATTTGTATGAATTAAAAATATATATTAATTATTTTTCTTTTTTCAGTGCACTGATAGTTGCATCAGTGCAATGGTATTAGTGTACATCTTCAATAGTAGATGTATCAGTGTAATGGTAGTTTCATAAAAGGAACGTAATTAATATGAGTTCAGTATATAGATGCAATGGTAGTTATATTAATGCAATGGTAGTTAAAAAAGGGAATGTAATTAAGATGAGTTCTTAATTTCCAAAGATTATTAAATGCAACACGAATTTAATACAAAAAATAACTATAATTAATAGGGGTGCCATTTTTCCAACCCCTTCGAAGAATTAGCATGCTAACCGCGTTATATGTATATTTTCGCTCTCTATTTTGCAAAGTTCTCAAACATACCCCTTTATAATATTTCACATCAAATCTATCATTCTATCCATTTTTCTGTTAGTTGACCATTCTCTTAGATCAACTGTGACTAAATCAGTTTAATAAGAGTGTGAAGTTACTTGAATGCCCTTATACTATTTTCTTTCTCATCATTTATTTATTTTTCTACCGTAAACAAAAATGTCATTACCCATCCCCAAAGTTGAATCGGAAAGGGATTTTGTCTTGCGTGAACTGAGGGATTGACATGGACTAGAATATGGAATTAAGTATAGGTGTTGGACGAGAGGGAAACCAACGGTGATTGCCTGTAGTGCGGTGAGGATGATAATGATAAAAGCTCCTAACTATTCATGTCGGCCGGCGGTGGCAGTGAAGGAGTACAAGGAAGAGTTTAATGCTAGTGATGAGCCTGTTGCGGATGTTGATCGGAAGAGCTTGGAGGGTTAATTTAATCATATTAGCGATATGGAAGGCGTCGGGGAATGTTCTCTGCCAGCCAAGGTTTCGGAAGCTGCGAATGGAAACAGGGATAATTAAAAAGAATTCTGTCCAAGCCAAGTGTTATTGGTATATTCACCAAACAAAAGCCGAGAATTCTGGCTCTTGCTGTTCCTTTTTATCGTCCAGGATCCACCTCTGTACATGAGGTCGAGCAGACCCTGCTGGATTGCAATGAAGTCTTGGAGGAGCTACACTCCAACCTCACCGCAGCCCAAAATCGGAAGAAGCAGCAAGCTGACGCTGGTCGACGCGGCATCGAATTCCACGTGGGCGACGCCGATTATCTCAAACTTCATCCTTACTGCCAACACACTGTTTTTCGCCGTGCATTACAAAAGATGGCTTGTCGTTACTATGGGTTGTATGTGATCACTGAACGGGTCGGCACGGTGGCGTATCGTCTTGCTTTTCCCCCAGGCAGTCGCATTCAGCCGGTATTTCACGTCTCGCTGCTCCGACCGTGCCACTCTCCGGCCACGCCCCCAAGCTCGGTTGCTCCTCCCATTGGCGACGATGGCGTTCTCCTGCTGCAGCCTCAGGCTATACTCGACATTCGTTGGACACAATGTGGTGGTCGGATGATCAAGGAACTCTTGGTCAAATGGGACCATCTGCCATGCCAACGAAGCTACGTGGGATCTCACTTCTGTGTTCAACGATCGATTCCTCCATTTGGGCCTCGAGGACGAGTCCTTTGCGCCACAGGGGGGTAATGATGGGTCTCGAAATACTTATGTTGACGGGCCAGATTATGAAGGAAGTGGGCCTCGTCGATCTGCACGAACACATTGGCCCACCACTCGCTTCCGCAACTAGGAGTAAGAGGAGTTCCCTGCACAGCTTGCCATGTAGTCTAGGGCTTTGTCTACTTTTTTATTTTCTAGTTTCCAAGACGTTGATTTAGTTGTTGAAGGAGTCAGAGTTGTTAGCTGGATAATCTCCTCCGCCTTAAGTGGGTTTGAGTAGTTAGTAGGTTAGCTACCTTTTAGCGTGAGTACTTTCGGTTGTGTTTATTTAAAGCTTTCAAGTTAATGGAATAAGGCAAGCAAAAACTCAAGTAAAACTCTTTGATAATTCTCGCCAAGAAAAGAGAATCTGGCTCAATCCCGCCAAGAAAAGGGATACATAGATTCATTCAATTTCGATCTGTACCAGCATTCTCGCCCTAACTTTACTATAATCGCCCTATTTAAAACATGAAATTACTTAACCTTCCTTCAACCAATCAAAGAGAAATAACAAACCAAATATCTTAAATATCTTCTCCTCCCTTCTCGGGTCTCACAACCAATGATCATCTTTCCTTCACTAACCATCACTGTTGTGGTTCCCTTCACCTGTTGCCCTGTTGCTTCCTTCGATCATCGTAGATCCCTCCACCATCACCTATTGGCCCACGTTATCCCTTTATGAGCATCATCCTCTAACCATCAAAACCATCATCTAATTTATATCCCCATCTGCTAGTTGAACTGTAATCGGCACTTGGGGAAGCCGGGATTCCACCTAAGACGGCATGGAGTCAGACAGGGGGAGGACAGAGTGCTAGCTTGAAGTAGGACTGCAGCCAAATTGAAGGGAGACTCGAGGAGGATGGGGATAGACGAAAGCTACGTCTCGATCTTCACTAGTTCGTGGCAGTTATAAGAAACTGTGGTATTTTTTGTTTTAAAATATAAATTTTAAAATAAAAGATAATAAAGGATAAAGTGGTACTCTTGACATGTTAATTAGGACGATATAACAAAAAAGTAGGGCGACATTTAGCAACCCTCTTTTTTTATGTTAGTGAAACATAGAACAATAAATAAAAAAATTTAAATATAATACAAAGGCATCTAAGTAATTTCACCTTATTAATTTGATTTTGTTATAGTTTGACCCCAAATAATGGTCAATTGACAGAAAAATGGATGGAGGGTTAAATTTGATAACATTGTTATAGTACAAGGGTAAAATTGATATGAAATATTGTAGATGGCCTGTTTGAGAACTTTGCAAAGTAGAGGGCAATATATACTTATAACCCTACAATTAACTAATTTTAAGTTAAAGATGCCGATTGGTATTATAGCTAGGGCTACAAATGAGCCGAACCAAGTCGAGTTGCCACAACTTGAGTTTGGTTCGTCAATAAATGTCAAGATGAATACATAATAATAATAATAATAATAATAATAATAATAATAAAGTTTTCATTATTAACTAATCTCATGTTATACTTGGTGGTATCATATTATTTAGTTAATAAATTTTAACTGGTCAAAATTATGTTATTTCATAGATCGAAGCAATCTATGATACATATTTTTTAAAAAATTAAATACGACATATTTGCTCACATAATCTAAGTGTTAAAACTTCATATAGAGTGAGATATATAATTTAATAATCCTATGAATTATCAAAACCAAACTCATACAGACCGATTCGCTCATAAGTTGGTAATCGAGTTGGCTCTCTAGCCACAATGTTGAAAATTGAGACATCTCATGAGCTCTAAACGAGTCAGCTCACGAGTTGAGCTCAATAAGCCAATGAGTCGAGCTAGCTCGCAAGCTCGGCGAGCTGCACAAGATTTAGCTCAAACTCAACTCGTTAGTAAATGAGTAGAATTTCTAACGAGTTTTTCCCGAGTCCAACGCCGAGCCGCTCGCGAGCAGCTCGGCTGATTTGCAGTCCTAATTATAGTCCAAATAAAAGGAGCATGACAATTTAGTCCCTACTTAAAAGAATATATTATAAGCACACTCCCATTTAGGGAATAGCCAACTACCCACTTTTTATTTCCAAATAGATATGACAATGTGTTGGGTTTGGACGGGTTTCTCTAAACCATCTTCATCTCCGTTTTCAAATATGTAGGGGTCATTTGGAAGTTGTGATTGTTAGAGTTTTTTTATGAAAGTGATTGTTAGAGCTGTGTTTATTGAATACATGTATTATGCACAATACACAATGTTTGGAAGTGCCAAAGTGTAAAGGTAGGTCCCACCAACAATCACAAAAAATGATTCATTATATAATGCATGCATATATATTATATCGATGTATTGTTATCAATGCGTGCATAATAATATACATGTATATAAGAAAATTGGTGTATTGTAGTTTACATCGTTTGGTTTCTGTGATAGTTATTGTAGTATTTAAATAAACTATATAACTTTTTGGGTGAAATGTCACTTTTACCCTTTTTTTAATATAAAAAAGCAACACACATAAAAAGATATGGACATATTTGGAAGAAGAAGAAGAAAACACAACAATCCTCATCAAACAATCTCAACGAAAACTTGAGATTTAACTATCACTCATTTTGAGTGATAGTTTGTGTCAAATCAAGCAAATAATGCATGCATTGTTTGGGCAGAAAATTCAAAAAAATTATGCATTGTGGAAATTGCATGCATTGTAACTATCCCAACTAAACTATCACCAAAACCAAACGACCATTGTCATCAATGCATGTATGCATGTATATACGAATATTGGTGTATTGAATTATACATTGTTTGGTTTCTGTGATAGTTATTGTGTTATTTAAATAAAATATTACGTTTTTAATAAAATGTCACTTTTAACCTTTGTATTTAATATAAAAAAAACATAAATAAAAAGGTATGGACATAGTTGGAAGGGATTGTTGTGTTTTTTTTCCTTCCAACTATGTCTTTTTTTTACAAAAAAAAAAGACATAGTTGGAAGGAAAAAAAACACAACAATCTCAACAAAAATTTGAGATTTAACAATCACTCATTCTGATTGATAGTTTGTGTCACATCAAACAAACAATGCATGTATTGTTTGTGCAGAAAATTAAAAAAAATGATGCATTGTAAGTTTGTAACCATCTCAACCAAACAATC